TTTTTTTAATTTTTTAGATGTAAATGTTATCAAATTCTGATTATTATTAGTTTTTTTGACCCACACCGGCCCGACGGGTCGACCTGGGGCCGGAACCGGTTTGGGTGGGCTATTTGAACCGAGCAACAAGGTCTCGGGCAAAACCCGGTCTTGACCCGGCCGGGTCAACCACCTGGTGCATTGACACGGGTTGACCCGACCCATATATATTTTTTTATTTTTATTTTTTTAATTTCTCTTTTTTTTTAAAAAAAGAAAAATAAATAAAACTATGTATATATGCTTATATGTTAAATATTTATCATGGATATATATTATTAATATTTTAATGTATAAATTTTATAAACAAAACATTTAATTTTATTATTTTATGTATATTTATATGACAAAAATATTCTATATATAATTTTAAAATTAATTATCAGGTTCAGCAATTGACCCGACGGAGATCTGCCCGGGTTGATTACCGGGTCTGCTTAAAAACTATGCTTTGTTTACATTTTGCCTTTAATAATTAATTAGAGATTTTTTTTTTTTAGTTGTTATTTGATTAATTAATCACTACGCCAGTTTGGGTTTATGCCTGTAAGCCTGTTTCTCTGCTGTCCGATTTATTTAATTTATACATTTAAAGATCCATATTTTATACTGACAATAAGACTTGTTGAGATTCAAACTTAGTCTGTGGATTGGTTGTTACATACTGCTTTCGTTGGAGCAAATAACATCTCAGAATTAGTCTGTGTGGATGGCACACGAGATACGTACTAGTAATTTTAATTTCACACTTGTGCATGGCGCACGAGATACGTACTAGTAATTTTAATTTCACACTTGTGCATGGCGCACGAGATACGTAATAGTAATTTTAATACCGTTCGACTTGTACTTGTATACACTTGTAATTTCAAAATTTTCTGTTAGTTTGAAAATATTAGTGATATCTCATTCTATTCTGTAAACGAGAATGATAAATTTAGAGGTAGAGCATATACAAATAGATTGACATAATAGTAATTTTTGAAAGTTTGTATTGGCAGAAGTAATTAATCTACGAAAGTTCATTAGATGTAAATAGTCAAGCAATATACACAGAAAAAAATATGATTTTGCAATGTAGTAAAAAGAATTTCAATTTTTCGCAGAATGGTGTCCGAGGTTTAATGCTTGACATGTACGACTTCAACGATGATGTTTGGTTGTGTCACTCGTTTGACGGGAGCTGCTTCAACGTGACAGCATTCGTATGTGCCATTTTTTTTTCTCTTTTTTACAGCTAGCCTTAACAAAACAACATTCTTGTTTAATCCTTTTTCGTCGTATTGTATTGTTGTTTGCATTTTTATTTATTTAGTTATCTTTTGTTGATGACGTCAGCAACCCGCGGTGAACACTTTGAGAGAAATTCGAGAATTTATGGAAACAAACCCAACAGAGATCGTCACCATTTTCATCGAGGATTATGTGAGGTCCCCTCAAGGCCTAATGACACTGTTCAATGTATCCGGCCTCAGCCGCTACATGTTCCCTATTTCTCGTATGCCGAGAAACGGGGAAGACTGGCCCACGGTGGATGATATGATCTCATTGAATCAACGACTTGTGGTGTTCACATCCAACGAGGCCTCGGAAGGGGTCGCGTACGAGTGGAACTACGTAGTTGAAAATCAGTGTGAGTGAATAGTAAATTAACTTAACACTATCCAATTCTTAGCTTTAGATTAAAAATGCATATGCTTGATTGCTTTCATACTTCTAACTTCGAAGGTAACATTGATTAATTTGCAGATGGGAATGATGGGATGATAGGGGGAATCTGCCGGAATCGAGCCGAATCATCTTCAATGAATACAAGGACGAGATCTTTAGTGCTTATGAACTATTTTCCGACAAACCCGAATATATCGGAAGCTTGTGTCGACAACTCAGCCGTGATGCATACTTGTTACGGGTCTAGCGGCAGGCGGTGGCCAAATTTCATCGCCGTCGATTTTTATCAGGTATGCA